ATAGATTAATTTTATTCTATATATACTATATATTTGGCCAAACCGGCCAAATAATTTTATTGCCCGTTTTGGCCAATAGCCGCGGCCATTGGCCGGCCAAAAAACAAAGTGACAACACTGCACTAAACAGTGTTCGAAATTTCAGGCTTAATTACTGTTCTCATGAGAACAGTATAATAACTATGAGTGTTCTCAATTTGCTGTTTATGTTCTAACTTATGCTCGCTAAAAAAAAACTACATACTAACTACCTAATAATATAACTTTTATCATCTAAGTATTATTTTATTCAACTATCAGGTAGTTTCAAGATTAAGGAACCCAGTGATATTTTCATGGTCATCTCATCACATAAGTATCATATAAACACGAAATAATACGCAGGGGTGTGATTTCGAATTTTGACCTAAATTAAGCTTAATTCGAGCCATTATTCAGAATAATGCCCTGTGCATTATTTCGCGCTTATACAGTAAGTGTTCAGTTTAAATTAGGGTTAGTGTTAGGGTTAGGTAATATTTAATGCTAGTAAACAAATAATGTCATTGCATGATTTCACTTGTGTGTGATGATCACTGGGTTCCGTATTCTTGAAGTGTCCCTATCTATCTACCACTTACGAGAACACTATTTTTATTTTACTGTTCTCAAAAAATTTTTAATAGTGAATAGTAAACCATTTTTACTGTTCACAAACTTATAATCATGTTCTCATGAGAACTCTGAGAACACTAATTTCGAACACTGGCACTAAATATATGTAAAGTTGAAGTGGAAATAAAAAAAAAAAATATTTATAAACTTTCAGGGATCCTTGCGGATTCTAAAACTACAAACTTCAAAAAATATAATTTAACAGGTATTTTTTTTAAAAAAATTGAGCAATTTTTTTTTTTAAGGTAACGAAGTCATGGTTTAAAGATGATCAACCACCAATTAAATTGCGAGGAATATTCTAGATTCGATCTCCAAATTTGGAGATCTTTTCTATAATAAAACATAATAAATATTGAAATTTTTACGTTATATGAAAGATTAAAATTTTAGTAATAATTAATTTTTTAAATAATATAATTATAAATTTCATAACCTAATACTTCTATAAAATGTTCTTACAAATCGGTTAATTTTTTTTGAAAAACTTTAGTCTAATTGAAAAATAAAATTTTTAAATTTTTATAAGCTCTACTTATAAAAATTTCAAAAATTTATTTCCCAATCAGACTAAAGTTTTTCAAAAAAAATTAACCGATTTGTAAGAATATTTTATAGAAGTATTAGGTTATGAAATTTATAATTATATTATTTAAAAAATTAATTATGATTAAAATTTTAATCTTTCATATAACGTGAAAATTTCAATATTTACTATGTTAAAAACTTTGGTGGTAATTATAACTCGGATTCGCCAAAAAATCTAACATAATATTATATTTTGCACTTATAAAAAAGTTCATATCGTTTTATGTCACTCATTAAATTGCTTTAATGCTATATATCTTTAAATCATAAGGTTCGCAAGAAAAAAAATCTAGTTTATCTGTTAAAATTCTTTATTGTTTAAATAACTATTCCGCGAAAAAAAAAAAAAAATTAGATTAAATCCTAGCATCTATTTTTAGGATGCACCATCCTGTTTTCATACCGGTAATTCTTGGACCCTTACTTGTTTAAAAGTTGTGAAACTCGATTGTGTCACCATCATTCTGAGATGATACTAAATAGATGGAATTTCAAGCACAATAGTTTCAATTCGCTTGATTAAGCTTTCGACCTTTCTATAATGTCTTTAATCGACGACTTCATAGAACAATCAAATGAGCCGTCTAATGTTTATTTGGAGACTGCAGGGTTTGGGCCAGCAGATCCGGTTCATATGGTGTTGTACTGACTTACTTCTTAAGCTTTATTAATTTATTCAATGCAATGCTGATTCTTATATATATGCTCGCTTAGTTAGAAACTGGGTTTGTTAGTACTGGTTTAGCTGAAGACGATTCGCGCGTTTTTACCTTAGATCGTGTTCAATTTCAACCTCCTTCGTCTATAGTCAAAATGTCTGTATCAAACGAAGTTCTCGTAATGGCTTTGGAATCAAATCATATCTTAAGAATTGACCTACAACAAGCACACAACGTTGAAGGTATTGATAATTGGATATAAGAATTATACTATCGAGGACCGATATAAAATTAATTGATTTGTCTTAAATATTATTTTACGTTTTTTTCGTAATTTTAATGATACTTGAAGAAAATAAAAGTCTATAAACTTTTCGTGCTTCATTTTATACATAATGATGCTTGTTAGATATTGAAATGCAACGCAAATCCGGGGAAGTGAAGATTTATAAAATATTCTTTGATCCAACCGGCCGACATTTGCTTATTACTACCGAACAAGGAGAAAACTTTTATATATTTGAAAAATGGAAAAAAGCGAAAGTTCTTTCAAGGTTCAAGGTATTATTATTTTCTCTATCTCTTAGTCATGTATTATCATATATTGATAAAATTTAACAATATATTTGTTTTGAGAAATTAGGGCATAATAATTGAATCCGTTGGGTGGAATAAAACCGTAGGAACTTCTGATATTTCAACCAAAAAGATTTTAATCGGAAGTCGCAATGGTTTAATTTACGAGGCTGAAATAGAATCAACTGATGAATACTTTAAAAGGGGAGAGAAATATTTCAAACAGGTTACTTTATTACTGATACATTTTAACCTATTTTTTTTTTCAAATGATTGAATATGTCAATAATATATAATGCAATAATAATCAATTACAGGTATACTCGTCAACTGACAATCAGCCTATAACCGGTCTTCGAGTTGAAGAGTTTCCTGTCATTCCTCGAAAATATTTCATATTAGCTACAACGCCCACAAGAATATACCAATTCATAGGCCAGGCAAACCCTAGTGCTGATATAGATGGTGGCTCTATGTTTGAGGGCCTATTTTCCAAATATAGTCACAGTCCAGGTATTGTGATAATTTATAATATACTTAATACATTCGCTTCGCTTCATTATTATTATCATTATCACTATTATTAATTAATTAATTAATTAATTAATTTTTATTTTTAGATTTTCAAGAAATTCCAGGCAACCTATCATACAGTGAATTACACTTTTTTTCACAATATCAAGGATCGGCCAAGAATTTCGCATGGTTGACTGGTGATTATATATATATATACGATTTATATAATTTATGTAATATATCAACAATAGAATAACATACAAACATATTGTACAATTAGGTCCTGGCATTTATCATGGCAGTCTTGTTTTTGGGTCCCAAGACCATGTGATTGATAGTGCAAAATTGTTACCGTATGTATTGCTTGTATGCTTTAGCATCTATTGACAAATCAAACTAATGCGTTATTTATAATTCGATTAGATATCCTTCAATACCGTCAGAAAATGATCCATCTACTTTGATCACTGAATGTCCTTTGTCGATTGCTCTTACCGAATTTCACTTCATTTTACTGTATAAAGAACGCGTTAGAGCTATTTGTCTGTTGAACGATCAAATAGTTTATGAAGAGATCATTCCACTCGTAAGTGTCCTTAGAATAATGTTATAGATAATGTTTCATCAATAATATTCTTTATTTTCGGTTTTCCCATACTGAAATCAAAATATCCGCTCTTTGGTCGTCATTAGAAAGCGGGAGAGGAGGTTAGAAGCATGTCCGTAGATAGTGTTAAAAATACGTTCTGGATTTACACAGATAGTTGCATATTTGAGCTTATCGTAACAAAGGAAGACAGAGATGTATGGAAGTTATATCTAGAAAAACAACAATTTGATACTGCGCTACTATATTGCAAGGTTATTATTTAAGATAATTCATATTTTATCATTAATTATGCACTTTATATATTATCCCATTAACTAATCTATTGTTATATCCTAGAATCCTGCTCAACGCGATGAAGTTCTTACTACCCAGGCAGATCATTACTTTTCGCAAGGTCGATTCCTTTTGTCAGCAAATTATTATGCTCAATCCACCGTTCCTTTCGAAGAAGTCGCGCTTAAATTTGTAGAACGGGATGAAAGAGATGCATTAAGAAATTATCTATTGATTAAATTGGAAAAACTTCGACGCACAGTAAGATAAAATAACTTCAGCTTGTTATTATTATATTATTATAGATAAATAAATTTTTCTTAACTCGGCATAAATAGGACTTGACGCAGAAAACAATGATTGCTACTTGGCTCGTCGAAATATATCTTAGTAAGATTAACATGTATGAGGATTTAACAGCATCAGGTGCTGGCACCGAAGACACTAGTAATTATAAAGCTAAACAAGAAGCTTTAGAAGAAGAATTTAAAAACTTTCTAGAACAATTCAAGGTATCAAAGCTTATTTACGAATAATGGCTTTAAATTTTATATACATATGTTTACATTTGTTAATCCACTTTCTATATTTCAGGCAAATCTAGACAAGCGAACAACTTACAACCTTATCGCTAGCCATGGACGTACAAGAGAGCTCTTGTTTTATGCTTCATTAATTGGCGATTACGATAAAGTAATTTCTCATTGGATTCAAGAAAAAGATTATAGGCAAGCTTTGGATATTCTTAGTAGACAAGTATCTGTCATTATTATTGTATCGTGTTCCAATTTATGATAGTTTACAAATGTTGATTAATACCTACGATTTTCTAGGCATCAATTGATCTTTGTTATAAATTTGCTCCAATTTTAATGGAAAATGCACCATATGACACTGTTAATGTCTGGATGAGACAACCAAATCTCAACCCTAGAAACTTAATGCCTGCATTATTGAAATATGATCACTCAAAAGCCCCAGAAGATACTACTCAAGTACGTATTTATATTTTCAATAATTTAAATTGCAATGTCTTTTTTTAATAACTTTGGATATTTCAATTTGTCACAGAATCAGGCTATAAGATATTTGCACTATGTAGTAACGCAACTTAATAACACTGATCCAGCAATTCACAATTTTCTTCTTACATTGTATGCCACACAACCTACATCAAATAATGACGAATCTTTGCTGCTGAAATTTTTGGCGACAGAAGTATGTCTGACTATTTTTTGATTTCCAAATTAAAATTTTGTTAATAAAAATTTAATTATCAGGGAAAGGAACCTTATTATAACATGGATTACGCATTACGACTTTGTAGTCAGAATGGAAGGACACAAAGTTGTGTACATATTTATAGCAATATGGGTCTTTTTGAGGAAGCTGTTGACCTTGCTTTAAAGGTATGACATTTATGCAATTTAATTATCTTAAAATGACATTTTTGTAATTATTCGGGAAGTTTAATATATATCATGTAGCATAATGATTTGGAACTTGCGGGAATCAATGCTGACAAACCAGATGATGATGAATCATTGCGTAAAAAGCTTTGGCTAAAGATTGCACGACATGTGGTTGAAAAAAAACAGGATATTAAAATGTAAGTTGTTTTTTTTCTTTCAAAGAATAAAGATTTACTATCGATTTGTTAATAATGGTTTACATTTTTGTTTGGTATTAGGGCAATGGATTATTTGCAGCATTGTGAGCTACTTAAAATCGAAGATATTTTGCCCTTTTTCCCTGATTTTGTTCTAATTGATGATTTCAAGGTTTTTATTCTTTTGTATTATTATTATTATTTTTTTTGAGTTCTTTTGTCATTTATAACAATTTATCGGTTTAATTTTAAGAATGAAATATGTTCCGCTCTTGAAGAGTACAATACGCACATTGAAGATTTAAAATCAGAAATGGATGAAGCAACAAAAAGTGCAGAAAGCATCCGATTAGATATACGAGAGTTGCGAAGTCGGTGGGTTTATACCCTTTTTTTTGCATGCATGTCCTTTATCTTTTTTGTTACTAAAAAGACATAATTTGATAGATTTGCAATTGTTACATCTGGAGAGAAATGTTCGTTATGCGATTCTCCACTCTTGACAAGGCAATTTTATATATTTCCATGTCAGCATGCTTTTCATGCAGATTGTTTGATCCAAGAGGTAAGAATGAACATATTATTTTATTACTATTCAGTCTTTCTATCTTTGACACCTTGATTCTTGTTTAGGTTACAAGGCATCTTAGTGCAGGTCAACTTCGCAAAATCTTAGATCTTCAAGATCAAATAGCGAAGGAAATATCTAACTTTAATCGTGCGCCCGACAATACAGCACGTGAGCGCCATGGCTTTGCGCCTGGAGGTCTAGATCGGTTAAGGGGATTAATATTACCAGATGTTGCTGCACCTAGTGGTGACGATGTAGCTGTAGTCGTATCAAAAGTTGATCAATTGAAGGTATATAATTATCTTTCCTTAATGTATAATTATGTATTTTGTACTTACTAAAAATCGTTTTTATTACGTAAATAAAGGATGAATTGGATGACTATGTAGCCTCGGAATGTGTTTTGTGTGGTGATATGATGATCAAGACTATCGAGATGCCTTTTATTAACGATGAAGAAAGTGATCTGCTATTAACATGGGCTATCTAATTTAAAAACTTTTTTTCCTTTGTATTTTTATTTCCCTCTTTTGATAAAAATTAAACTAGTTTGTTGAATTTCATGTTATGTATCATTATATGGCCATGCAATTAATTTTTTGGTTTTCGCAAACTTTATATTTAGAATGCCCGTTGAAATTTTTTAGCATTTTTTACATTTTTCTTAGATTAGATTAAAGTCAAATTGCCGGTTCTATGAAAACCAAAATTTATTTGCACGAATGAAATCAAATAAATGTACTAATATAAATTTCCGAGATCATGTGGTTGGCGTAACATACGAGTTATGGTTTTTTTTTTCTGCTAACGCAAAGGTTAATACGTTTCAATGCGTTACAAAATCGTTCCAATGCAAAACTCATCCCAGAGCTACTTACAAATAGCCTTTTACAAGTTAAATAAGAACATACTTTCTAGAGATTCAAACAAGATCTTATTTTTTCCTTTATGTATTTTTTTTGAAAGATTTAAAGAATTAAAATAAACATTGAATCATTGGTTTTTTACTATAAAATTCGTTGTAAATGAATTAAAGCTAAATTTCTAAATAACTTTCATAATTTTACAAATTTGATACATTTTAGAATTATTATAATCTTTCAAGAGGTTTATACGATGCTTGCGAAAATGTATAATAGTTAAACAAATCCTCTCTCATACAGAAGACAGAGAGTCTTCCATATTTTTCAAACTTGCAAGCAAAGGACGCATTCTGATTTCTACTGCTTCTTCTATACCAGAATACTCAAGAGCCTGTTTAAGATGAAAAATTATCACTAATGGCAATAAAATTATAAATACACCGGTCTCGTCACATAAATCTTACCCTATTAATAAACTTCATCACGAAATCTAAATATATATAGTTAAAGTTTACAGGACTTGTCACAGTATTGGTTTTGGGTTTAGTAATATGTTCGCATAATCTTAATCCAACTTCAACTAACGCTGTTGCAAAATTTTCAACATTTTTAAGATTTTGTTGATATTCTTCATTATCAATTGTAAATGTGATATCTTGCCCATATTTGTCTTGTACAATAATTAATTGATGTAGAATGTGATTAATGTTATTGCAAATATGCATCATTCGGACTTCGACACATCGAACTTTACTTTCCATTTTATCTATTTGAGATAATGATAGATTGACATAAGAAGTGGCGAGAACAAGACTTGATAAAATAAGTTCGCTATTTGGAGATCCAATTAATTCGACGGTATAACTTGTAATCTTTATACAGCTCATAATGTTTTCCATAATCTTAAAGGTATTTCGAGTAAATATGTTAAAAATACACATCTAAAGAATATAACAAATAATGATCTCGGATTAATTCGAATATACCTTCGTGGTTCTTATGTCATCTGCATTTGTGTGGCCATATTTATTCATTTCATTAATCATAATGGCAGAACAATTGAAAGCCAAACCAAATAGCCATTGTCTCATCGCATGAAACCAATTATCCTCAACAGGGAATCCCAGGGCCTTCCATGATAACCCTGACTGTTGCAAAACTTCACCATATAAAGATTTCTTGAATTCCAAAACTTCTAGAACTCTTTGCAAGTTACATCCAATATCTTTGTTTTGAGGATATTCAGAATTAGCAGTTGCTTTCATGTCTTCAACGATTTCAACATATTGAACAATATTCTCCACATTCTTTCCCAAAATTTGCCATTGGGGAAAAATTTGCTATGAAAAAACACGTGATCAGAATACAATTTTATTATTACAACCTCATTTTTACGGATATTAATTGGGTTGATCAACCAATTTATGGTGGAAAATGTGCCACTAGCTTACAGAATGGTCTAAGGTTTTGACTTACTATGAAAGGTTTACAATAGTCGCATCTCAGCCATTCAGCATTGCTCAATAATCTATCAATTAAAGACATAATATCATCAAAGGCTTGAGGAATTGAATTATGAAGGATTGTAAGTGTTGATTCAATATCGCAAATTCGTTCCTGAAACCGCGATTGAAATTCTTGTAAAGACATATTTCTTTTCTGTGCTTGTAATTCAATCCAATCAGCCATCGTAATATTCCAATTACAACAATTATCGTCAGGATTTGATAATATACGACGTAATGATTGTATCCTAGCAGGTTCGTGAACCAGCTTTGTATCACTGTCAACAAATTCGCTAGAATTATTATCAATCATCATATCCATATCTAAAGAATTATTAACGAGTTTCTTTGCGCGTTTGCTGTCAAAGAGTCGACTGGTAAAACTTTTGATATTACGTTGAGGTAAAGATGAAAAACTGAATGATGAACGTGTTATTTCATGAGTGTTCAAGGAAGCAAATGTATTCGATAATCCATCATCATCATCATTTGTTTCATCTTCTGAGAATGAAAGACTTCTAGCCAATCTTGAAGACAATGACTTTGAGATTTTTTGACATTTGTATTTACGTTGATTATCATCGTCGCGTTTTCGTTTAAGGGGTGATAAACTACCGAAGGAACCTTCAAATTCCTCCAACATCATAGGTTCAGCTATAAGCCGAATAATATAAAATTAAATATTGTTAATAATTAACATAATAACTGATTTAAAAGATCTGAAAATGGGATTGCATACAGGCAGATAATCTTTTCACTCTTTGGTCAGCTTCAGAGCTTCCAAGTTTTATTGACATACCATTATTGTCTAGCAAAATGTTCTCTAACGTTTAAATTTAAAAAAGTTAATAGTTAACACATAAATAATGAAGCAGTGAAATAATAATGAACGATATAATAATAGACGATAAAATATACCGAGTGCAGTTAGTAAAGTGTTTATAGCGTTTTCCCAAATTTCTCGCGAAGACGATCGAGCTTCATCGAGTTTCATTGTGGTAGATTGTTCATTTGAATGCATAGCATTCCTAAATTGAAAGGTGGTAGGCATTTCTTTAGTCATCCGCATCTTCTTCTTCTATAATGTCTTCGTTGTCGTCTTGAAAATCAACTAAGACGACGCAAGTAATGAACAAACCAATGCTAACTGCAAAAATAAGTAAAAGAAATTGAGGCTGTAAAAGTTTTTTACTGGCTTTCAAATAAAGCTTCGGATACGAAGGCGGGAGGGATGGAGAAGCCGAAACCGGCAGGATCATGACTATCGAACTTTTGTCGAGAGTCAAATTTAAACGTCACAAATCCTTCGTGACATTTTATAAAAATTGGGTTTACATATATTTCACGTGATGACACAATCCAAAGATTGAATTCCGACGCGTCTTTTTTGATCACATGTCTATATAGATACTCCGTATTCGCTTCTCCGACTGTACGTAGTGTAAGTTAGTGCCACAATTTTGATTGAATCAATCATAATTTCTAATTCATTTCTACAGTAGTAAAACAAGCATTGAACAGGGAATAACAACTAAAGATATCCGATTTTCTACAGTTCTATTATTAGCGTTAGCATTACAAATTAGTAAATTTAAAATTCCTCTTAGAATTTAATTTTAAATACATCGATATAGAAATTTTATGTAATTTTTATATGCGCTATATGTATGTATCGTGTGATTTTACGCTAGAAACAGGTTATAGAAAAACTTTTAACTGTATGTCTCATAAAAAGAATCTCTAGATTTGAATGAATTATCGGTACTACGTAGAAATTTACCATTTCCAACTGTAATAGGAAAATATACAGACAATAGACGTGTTATCGAATACGTCATCAGATTTTTCAGGGGTAGCAAATAAATATAAACAAAAAACCACGATCACGACAAAATAAAAAATGTCTTCTACCAACATAGCTCGACCTTTCTCAGGGTCTCGTCTTTTATTGAAGCTTCAAAGGCTTCACCTTTTATCAGGGGCTTCTTCCTTAATCAGGGGATTTCGCCCTTCGCTAGGAGATTCTCTTTTCGCCAGGGGTTCCGTCTTTCACTGGGGCTTCGCTATTTCACCAGGGGGTTTCGTCTTTCGTACTTTCCCGAGCTCAGGTTTCACCTTTCGCTATTTACATAAAATAAGTTCGCCTAACGATTATACAAAGTATTATATTCCAAAACCGGGTGAAGTTTTGGATTTTCTTAATAGACATTATCAGTTTCCTAGGAAAACTAATAATGTTAAAGTGTTGAAAATTAAATGTCCAAAATGTCGTCCAAGAAAATCAAACTTTTTCTCCATAGAAATTAATGTGAATGATGGTACATATCGATGTAATGAATGTATGACGAAAGGAACTTGGAAGGATTATATGCAATTGATAACCAAAACTAGTACTTTTCAAGTCATTAATTCAGCACAAATGGGAATAGGTTGTCCATCTTATTTGTCAAATCCTGAAGAAATAGAGCAGTATTCAAATGAATTGCAAAATCATCTTAAAATTGTTGAAAGGTTTGAGAATGATCATGGTATAAATTTAACGACGCTGCTTGCCTACAAAATAGGAATAGCTAATTATTACAATATAAAGCCTAAATCATCAATAAATTTTATTGATCAAGAAACAGAAATATCGCGTCAGGATGCAAAGGAGTTATGTATAACATTTCCGAGAATGGCACCATGTTTTGACGATCAGGGTCAAGATAATGCGTTGAGAAATAAGGTTGCCCGAATTAAAGCTTGTTCTGTTGAGGATAATGAATTTGTCACATTTGATCCACCATCATTTCATTCTGGTCTTTTTGGTTACCATTTAGCTCCATTGGAATGCGAAACCATCATCTTGACGGAAAATGAATATGACGCGATGACTGTTTACCAAGAAACTCAAATACCTACCATATGTCTTCCTAACAATGGATACCAATTACCAATAGAAATTCTTCCCTTGCTAGAAAGATTTTCAAAAATATATATTTGGCTTAATGATGATGTTCAAGGTCAAGATGCGGCAGAAAAATTTGCTCAAAAATTGGGAATTGACAGATGTTTGATTGTAAATGCAAGATGCAACAATTTTGATGGGCCAATCAATGCAAGCCAAGCTTTAGCCATGGGAAAGAATTTAAATGAAATTTTATCGCTAGCCAAACCATTACAACACGAACAAATTTTAAATTTTGACAATCTAAAAGAAGCTGTATACAGAGAAATTATTAACCCAGGGCAAGTTCGCGGAGTTTTATCAAAAGATTTGCCCGCATTAACACAAATTTTAAAAGGACATCGACCTGGTGAATTGACAGTTTTTACTGGCCCTACAGGGTCTGGTAAAACTACTATTTTAAGTCAACTCTCTCTAGATTATTGTAAATCAGGAGTGAGCACTTTATGGGGAAGTTTCGAAATATCTAACGTACGTTTGGCAAAGAAAATGCTAACACAATTCGCTGGTGAAGATTTGTCTAAAAATCCTATAGAATTCATGAACTGGGCACAAAGATTTCAGCAGGTAAACTTTATATTAATTCATCTTCTAATTAGATAAATGATAAATTGACTAATATTTGATGAGTTATATATGGATATTAGTTGCCAATGTATTTTCTCAAATTTTTTGGTAGCACTGAAGTCTCAACAGTAATAGATGCCATGAATCACGCTATATATGCTTTCGATGTTCAACATATAATTATTGATAATTTGCAATTCATGATCTCAGAACAAGGAAGATTCACAGATAGATGGGAGTTACAAGATCGCACAATTTCTGCTTTCCGTAAATTTGCTACTGAAAAAAATGTTCACATAACAATGGTGGTGCATCCAAAGAAGGACAATAGAGAGTTATTAGATATGAGCTCAATATTTGGATCAGCAAAAATTTCTCAGGAAGCAGATAATGTCATTATACTTCAAAAGATAGAGAGTGAAGATGGTGATGAGCGATATTTACACATAAAGAAAAATAGGTTTGCAATTGGTAAAAACATTGTTGCTTATAAGCTTAAAATTAATATAAATTTAACTTTGAAATAGGTTTGATGGTACGTTAGGTGCCATTCCAATCGAATTTATACCTGATTCTTTGAAAGTAAGTTGCATAAATTTCTTGTACAGTACTAGACAACAAAGTCAACTTTGAAGAATATAATCAATTATGATTGGTCAATTTTTTATAGAATTAATTTTGACTAGTCAGTAATAGGGATGCTAACGGCTTGACCCGATTTGTATATTTATTATTATAAAAACCGATTAATCGCTAGAGTCGATTGAGTCGTTAGCACCCCTAGTCAGTAAATCATAAATAACCTTTCTTTATGTATTAAATGCTAAATTATTAAACACGTAACGATAAACTTATAACTTTTAAAATTATAAGTAAAAATCTATTTTAACAGAATTGTTGCTTGGGAAGTAAGCAAAAATTTTTGCTAAAATTATTTATAATACTTCACATATTATATCTAAATATTGGATATTTTCTGTTGTCTGGTACTGCATTTTGAAGTGTATATATACATTTGCACCAAAATTGTTATTTACAATTGATTTGCATCCAGATTCAACAATTAAGAGAGCCAAGGTCTCGAGAAGTGGATCGTTCTTTTGCAGGTGAATGTTTGCTCTATTGCTTTAATTAATTTTTGAATTGTAACGTATATTGATGGTTTTTATTGAAAGATAGGCAGATATTCGAAAGATATGGCAGTAATGCCTAAAGCTGGCACTTATGTAAACCTATCGCCAGAACAATTTCAGCATCGTAAAATAATAATGTAATAAATAATCTTTCTAACTGATATACTAATATAATAAATGATATTATAGAAATATCGCATAAATAAAAATGTTTATACTTAAATATTAAGTAAACCAAGTAATAAAGATTTTTAATTTCATAGCATCATTTAATTTATTTTTTCTTGTTAATTTTTCAATGTATATATATTGCATATTATAAAACAATACAGAAATTGGCGAAAAATAAATACAAAAGAAGAGGAGATAAATACTACTGTATATACAGCAATATATACAACCTTTAGACAAACTATTTATACAAACTAGAAGAAATGCTATTAGTATCCAAAGCTATAATTTCTACAGAATATTCCATCCTGTTGGTGTTAGTCCGTTGATATGTTTTTAAACGTTGATTGGCTCAATATCACATGAGCAAAATTTATAATCTCTATAATAAATTCTTGCTATGCTTTAGACAATTAGATAATTACTGTAATTTATAATTGCAGTTTTATAATATTCTTGTACTAAATTGTTAAAAGTCTCTAAAGATATATATAGTATCTATAATTCTTAAATGCTATAAAAATCCCAATTCTAAAGATGTGACTTTTGAACAAAAAAAAATTTAATACTAACACTATAAATTTAAATTTATTAAATAGTATATATATATTAATCTACTGTATTACATTAATTTTATTTTATATTATGTTTAATATACAGTACTATATTGTACGTTATAAACAATCACAGATATACTGTACTTTTAACGGTTATACCCGTTTGTACACTACGTACATAGATATTAAAATTAAATATTAGCAGAGATTGCAAAAAAGGTCCTGTTTAGGGACTTTCCGGTATAATTTGGTATAATTTAATTGGCTAGTTTTGTTAACTTTTAAAAAACTTACTGAACGCTCTTTAATCGCAATAATTAGTAGATGCTGCATGCTAGATATCGTATATAAATTACATTAATATGATTCATTATCAACAGCGTACTCAATAGTCTGATCTTCATCTACTAGCTGGTCATCGTTATCGTCATAAAACTCATTTTCACCCAACATTAAACGCCGCCTAGGTCTAATATCTGGAATTGCATCTTCCTGATAATCTCTCATTTCTTCTTCGGATTCTTCCCACAAATCTTGTAAATCCTTAGAAAATTCATGTAATTGTACACTTGGTGCTCCATCTATTAATCTCAAACGCTCGTGAACTTGTTGTGAAAGTTTTTGTAAATCTAGTTTGGTATTTAAATTTTCGATCCGTCTAACAAGAGGTGGATGTAAAGAATAATCTGGTCCAAAAAAATTATAAAATTGTGCATTTTTAGGCAGCGCTTCCGGTACCTCTGTATCAACCAGTATGCTCGTCTCATAAGCCCAGCATCGCGCAACATTTTCTATTTTATACCCACCACCGCCAAGAACCAGTAAAGGTATTTGCCAATTCTTTACAAAGCGAACACATTCTCCATGAGCTTTAATACTAAGATTAAATCCCCCTAATTTATCTTTTCCAAGTGAATCAGCCCCAGATTGCAGAACAACAGCATTTGGTTGATAACGATCTTTAACGTCCGAAATAACATCCTTAAATAAAACGACATAATTTTCGTCATCCATTCCATCTTTAAGTGGTATATTTAAGCAATACCTTTTTCCTAACCCAATACCAATCTCACCTAGACCTCCAGTCCCCGGAAAATATTTTCCATTTTCTTTATACTTATGAAATGATACGGTCATGCATCGATCTGTTTCGTAAAATGCTTCTTGTACACCATCGCCGTGATGTATATCAATATCAATGTATAAGACCCGTGGATAGACCCTTAAAAAATAATTATTAGATCGAATATTATATTGATTAACATAACCCTCATATAATAAATTATTAACGCGACCAACCTCAACAACTGTTGAATAGCCAATACAATGTCGTTTACAAAGCAAAACCCCGAAGCCTCGTTGTGCTTGGCATGATGTAGTCCACCACTCCAATTAATACATATATCAGTATCTTCACTTGTCAATCGTAACGCTGCAGCTACAGATGCACCAGCATAAATTTGGCAAAAATCGTATAATCCTCTAAATATTGGACAATCTTCGCTGATATTAAATCTGTCAGCATCAAAGGAATACTGTTCGCTGTTTTCAGGGGTGACACTATATTTTATTAATACATAATAATGTAAATTCAGAATTACGAATGATTAGCTGTTGAAATGGTTAAAACGTGACATTTAAATCAGTTACTTTTTTAAAAACGTTATATAACTGGGAATGTGAAATTCCATCAAATCATAGTCAGTAGCTTTTGGAGGACAAAAAACTCGCATTTTTTCATGTAATCGATAAGCACATACTAAATCGTTGGTGTAAGATAAACGCAGTGGTTTCATCGGATGTTGAACCTATAATATAGCAACATAAGTAACCAAAAAATTTCAAAAATAACCAGAATACAGTCAAAACCCTTTGCTATCAACCTCATTAGTATCGGCACCCCAATGTTAGTACCTTCACTATGGAACGAATTTCAACTAAGAATTCTTAATCTTCATATTTATTTATTAAGCCTTATATTCATATTTAAGGTGTGATAACAAAAGGGTCTGACCGTACCTTTTATGCAGTGACATACTCCAAACTGAAAGTTTCCGATCTCATTATTATGAAAATATGATATTCGTTTTTTGCAATGCGAACGCACATGGGAAGTGACAGGTTGTGGTCTTAGATTGTAACAACTACTATCAAAGAAAGTGGATGAATCCATGTTGAGTTAAAAATTTACAAAACCACTAATAATGTAATGTTTGTGTTACCAAGTGCACTTATAAATAGAATTTCCTACGAAAATTACATACTAACGATAAGTATAAAGCTTTTTGAAATGCCAACCGTGATCGTGGCACACTTTAAAACAAATATATACGAGTATCTTGAAGCTTTACAAAAATCTACCCTTGACAAGTTATACGAAGAGCCAGCAACATGCTTGGCCATATTCAGGTTTGTTTTTAGTAGCTTTGGGTACGATCCTAGTAAAGGCGAGTAATAGCTTTACATAGTGTTATATAGCGGTTTTTTAGATCGAACTTTAGGAGATAAAAAATAAAATAAAAAAAAAACAAACCAAATATTTAATGTTCAAATGATTTTACCATTTGTTAATATAACATAGTCCGAGCTAGTTACTTACACCTGAAGACTACTTACTATTAGCTCAAATGATGTGAACATAAATTTAGATTATTTCATATTCACTTTAGACACATGTAGTTAAAAATGTGAGTGCATTATGCTGTTTTGGGATTCTTTTAATAAACGCGTGTTAGATATATATTTCTTGGAATAATACGAATTTCCGATTTTGTATTTTTTAGTAATGTCTAAATAATATAATTTTCTTGTCTAACAAAAGATTGTACTTGCTATAATAGACTCCTTCCATCATTAGCGAGGCAGTTGGTAATGTCTTTGCTATTTTCCACTCAGGTTATGAGTAAGGCTGATTTAAGGCAATGGATTAAGAATGACAAAGAATCAATGTCGTATGTAAATCATAATTTATTACGTTTTACACGTTTATATATCCGTTGGATTTAATAAAACCTTTTGCTATTAAAAAATAATAGGAAATTTGAGGAAGCTTTAGACAAATTACAGAAATTGCATATTATGATTGAACAAGAAACCAAAACAATAGTTTTAAATTCCTCATTTAAGCAAAAATTCCAAGAATGCTTAACCGGAGGGTAATTATATATATTAATAAAATTTTTAAACTTATTAAAAATTTGGATTCAACTGACGACATATGATTTTTATCAGTGGAACACATCAAAGCTTTGGAAGACTGTATAATAAACCACATAGACATAGTCAAAGTAATTCACATAAGCTACCAGATATTAAATTATTAGATGAACACGCGAAGACAAAATGGGAAGAGATTTTACATTTCATGGTCGGGACTGATCGGATGAATTCGCCAGGGGCTTCTGTATTAAAAGTTGTTACTAAAGCTAATTTGATGAGAGAAAAGGAGGGGTAATCATCATTGCATTCATTTGTTTATGAGAAGTTGAAAATCTTCTTTTTTTGTTCATAATCCATAACTATATTGATTGATTGCTTAGGAAAGGCCTAGAAATAACAAATAAAGGGTTTCAATTTTTGTTACAAGATGTTAACACACAAGTATGGGCTTTTTTAATTCAATATTTAGATCTAGCTAGTGAGGTAATTTCAATTTTTGTTGTTCACAACATTTTATCAAATTAATATGAAGATAGCTAATTTTGTCAAGTTTAATGGTTAGATGTTACATATGAATGTTGTTGAAGTATTGAATTTTTTTTTCATGCTAGGAAGTCTGGAATTAGGGCAGGTAATGAACAATTTGCCTTGATATTTTAATATTACTTAGATACAAAAAAGTTTAAACCCAAATTTTAATTTATTCAGCCTTTTATCCTGTTTTTACAATAAATAGGATTATTCAGTTGAGGGATTAACAGATACGCAACGACAACTACTTGATGACTTAACAAACTATGGACTTATCTATAGACCAAAAGTAAAGAACTTTACTTTGATAATTAAGTTGTGCAAATATTATAATATTTTTCCCTTTGGTGTGAATAGAGTAAACATAGCTCATATATTGAAAATTTCATAATGGATTTATATTTTTACAAAATGAATAGAAAAGCTCAAAAAGATATTATCCGACACGTCTTGCTACCACATTAACGTCAGGAAACTCGGCCATTGTATCAAATTCCGCGTCTAGTAATCTTACAGATGATGATGATAGCGCCACAGAACAGGGATTTATTATTGTCGAAACCAATTATAAATTATATGCCTATACAAGTAATTAAATAAATTTGTTGTATTTTTATCGAATTAATGTTATTACATATACAAACTTTTTTTTTTTTTTGCATTATAGGTTCACAATTACAAATTTCGGTATTGAATTTATTTTGTAATCTTCAGTATCAATTTTCTAATATGGTGACTGCGGAAATAAATCGAGAGAGTGTGAGAAAAGCATTGAAACATGGTATTACCGCAAGTCAAGTACGTTTAATTTTCAAGTAATATGCAATCACATCTCTGCGAACGAACCCTAATTAATTATATGTATCGTTAAAAAGATCATATCGTACTTAACATCACATGCTCATCCACAAATGAAAAAACGACCAGCCTTGCTACCGTCAACTGTAGTTGACCAAATTCAATTATGGGAGATGGAACTCAATCGATTGGTCATTACTAATTGTATGTTAGAGGATATTTACTTTAATTATTGTCTTTCTGCTTACTAACAGTGTTTTCTAATATATATTAGGCTACTTGTACAAAGAGTTTCGTACATTTGCCGACTATGAAGTTGTTTTAAAACATGCAAACACTTTAGGAGTAGTAATTTGGTCAAGTGATTCGAAAAGAATGATCGGAATCGCCGAAGCGGGTCATGAGCGTGTAAAGGCTTTTATTAAAAGAAAGATTGTACAAAGAAGAAGCAATGGGGGTGATACAACCAGTAGTGCTAGTGGTACTCCTGCAAGATAATATCCATTTTATTAGAACTTTCACCAGATATCATATGACTATGAATTATTCGTTATCCATCCATACTTCATTTATGAATTAGTATATAGATTAGAGTGAAATTATCGGATGAAAGCTCTATAAAAAGCAATTTTAATTTGCGTATTCAATAAATGCTTATATTGCAAATGTGATTTAAAATTATGGCTAATAATGGCCAATACGTTAGCAAATTGTATGTAGTAAAGGTCAGCATGAATTTTAAATCACCTATATACAATAATTTGGCATGGATGTTCTCATAAAAGGATAATTTTGTTGTATTAATTTACAAAGTAAAAAAAATTTCATCTAATTGTAAATTAATCTATATAATTTCAATATAACTTTATTACAATTCAATCATCTCGATTAGAAAATATAATAATTATGGCTGATAACTAAAAATTATATATAATCGATTGGTTTTTTTTTTTAATAATTTTGACTGGCTGGAATCACTAACAATTCTGGAGTGATTAAGATTTTTAATGTCCAGGTGAACAACTTTTCAGTGATACAAAAAATCCTAACAATAAACTCGTCTGCCTTACCTCTCAGAATCATGGCTAAGTTTTTCCTTAATTTCTTAATTTTTATTTGAAAGATAAATCCTTAAATATGTATTTATAACAGTATTTAGGCCATATTCATAATATAAAATTTTAAAAGTGACCCCGGCTTTTAATTTTATTTCAAAATATTTTATGTATAAAAAACAGAAAAAATTTTTTATAAATTTTTTCTGGATAATAAATATATTTAAAATTTTTTTTAAAAGTTTTGTAAATTTTGAGTTATGAAAACCGATTCATTAAGTTTACATGGCCTTATCATGACAAATAATAATAGTTTGTAATAGCTTGTATAGGTACAAGACTACAATAGTAGTAGAATTTAATTGTTTATAGAATTTCTTCGTCTAAATTATAAAATATAAATTACGAAGATTGTTAATTTTGAGGTAATACTATTAAAAGTGTCAGAGATGTTTAATTAATAACATTAAAACGATAACTTTATTTAAAACTTTCTAAAATAATTTATTGACAGATTTCGATGGATGGTTTCCAAGTATTAATGTGTACCAAACTTAAGCTCTTCATGATGAATTCCTTCAGGTAATTTAGGGGTTATTAAAGGATGAAGTTGAGCTAAATAGGTAATTGCCCACCTTTTTTTTCGCAAATAAAAATTAATTTTAATTTTAAAATCATTAATTTTTTTAATGAGAATAAAATAGAAATAACATACATCAAATAACAACAAACGATTGTTAAAATAAGCGAAGTCCGTATAGTTCTAATTTTAAGAGAAGTTGAGTTTATCGTAAATATTATGAAATAATAAAATAAAAACCATAAAAATAATTATCACCCGAACGGTGGTTTATTGAGCTAGAGTTCTTGAACTATTACTTACGTCTGATTTGGTCCTTTTGGAATAGAAATATAACAAAGCGCGATAAAAATTGAAGCACCAAATCCTATCATTATAATGTTCCAACCGCCCATTTCGACTAAGAATTTGTCAGACTTTTCAAGATTATATTAACAAACCCGAATTTATCTTTGCGAAAGGGTTTTTGGGTTACCTCTGATCATTATTTAATTAATATGTATGTTTATAAGTCAAACCTGATTTTCATTGGTTAATAACAAGTGATCAAAATCTTTAAAAATCTATCGGCTAATTTAATAAACAGTTTGCTAAAAAAAATTATCTGTTATAGTATTAGCATTAGTATATAGTTGAGTAATCAAAAAGGTCAAAAAAAGATTATTTTTATATTTAAATGCTATTATACTGTATATATATACTTTAAGGTTAGGGCAAAGCTGATTCGATTTGGCAAAATTTTGACCCCCCTCTTTTTTCATATATAATTTTGGCTTTTTTTGACTCCCCCTAGAAAATCAGCTGATTTCTGGCGCTTCTTTAGGGTTGGGATTTTTAGTATAGTTATTTTATTTTAATCTAGGTATATGTATTTTCACTTCTATTTATACTGTATATTGTATTTATATAGGTTGATTCAAAAGTTTTGTCACAAGATAATTATCTCAATTATTTTTAAATTTATAATTTTAGAAATTATTTCTATAAATATAGTGGTTATAATTTTTTTTTTTTTTTTTCACTTTGATAACCTCACACTAATTTATTAGAATTTTGTAAGGAAGCTGACAATTATCAGGTGATTTTCTAGGGGAGGGTCAAAAAAATTGAAATTTATATATGAGTAGAGATGGGCAAAATAGTGTTTTTCTATACCATGCATGCACATGGTATGCTACATTGGGGTATTCGGTCAACTATGTTTGACAAAACTATATGCAGTACCATATAAAAATTAATTATTGAAGATTTTTTTTTGAATTTAGTGATAGGATAGTGATTAGGATAGTGGTCAGAATTATTTTTACTTTATATATATATTTTAATAGTAAAGAATAACTTGAATATTTTCAGATGTCTAGAGCGAATCGCTATACTTTTTTGTATAAATTTATTCTTAAACATGTTTATAACAAAGTTATGTTAAAAAATTTTAGTTTTAGTATTAAATTTTTTACCTACAACGAAAATATCTCTTTTCAATAGTTCACAATATGAAACAGAATTTTTTTAAAAAGTCAACTTGAAATTTAAATATTAATTAACGTTAAAAAATTTTAACATAACTTTGTTATAAACATGCTTAAGAATAAATTTATGCTAAAATAAAAAAAGTATAATGATTTGCTCTAGACATCTAAAAATATTCAAGTCATTCTTTACTATTAAAATATATATATAAAGTGAATAATCTCGACCACTATCCTGATCACTATCCTATCACTAAATTCAAAAAAAAAATCTTCAATAATTAATTTTTATATGGTACCGCATATAGTTTTGTCAAACATAGTTGACTGAATACCCCAATCAGGGATGATGATTTTTTGCAGTGCTATTGGGTCAATTCCGTTCATGCTAAAATACCAATTCTGTAAATAAAATTAATTAATTCTGCACAGTTTCTGTAGTATTTCTATATGTTCTGCATGGCTTCTGCGATATTTTTTTATTTAAAAAAAAATTTTTTCTTTTTTTTCTCAAAGAAAAAAATATTTATTAATAATAAAATTTGATTATTTCACAAAAGTTTTGCCCGACCATGCTCATATTTCAGGTTTATTTATTTTCTAATCGGAACTTTTCGGAGATTATATTTTTAAAACCTTGTACCTATAAAAAAAACTAAAGAATTTATAAATCTCTACTTTCTGCAGCAATTCCGTGCTATTCTTAATACATTCCGTGTTTACAACCTAATTCTGTGATTTCTGCGGCATTCCGTGAAATGCAGAAAATCATCATCCCTGACCCCAATGCTACATGCATGTATATTATATGCAGTATATACTATACTTACAAATTGAATTTTTTTCAAATTTTAAGTAAAAATATCTCAACAACTACAAAACCAAATTTAATAAACTTTTTTTTATTTAAATTCTATATATTCATAGAATTCAAATAAAAAAAGTTCATCAAGTTTAGTTTAGTAGTTGCTGAAATATCTTTGCTTAAAGTTTTAAAAAAAAAATTTAAATCATTTACAAAATAGGCTTTACAAAATTTTTTCCAAGTTTAAACAAAAATATCTTAGCAACTACAAAGCCAAATTTGATAAACTTTTTTTTATTTGAATTTTATGAATTCATAGAATTCGACTAAAAAAAGGTTTATTAAAATTGACTTAGTAGTTGCTAAGATATCTTTAATTAAGCTTTTAAAAAAAATTAAAACATCTATTAAAATAAGCTATATAGAATTTTCTCTAAACTTTGAGTAATGATATCTCAGAAACCACAAGGTAAATTTAATAAACTTTTTTTTATTAAATTCTATAAATTCATAGAATTTGAATAAAATAATTATCAAATTTGACTAAGTAGTTGCTAAAATATCTTTACTCAAAGTTTTAAAAAATTTCAAAATATATCAAAACAAAAGCTGTATCAAAATTCTTTTTAACCTTTGAGAGAAGATATCCTGGCAACCATAATGCCAAATTTAATAAACTTTTTTTATTTAAATTCTATGAATTCATAGAATTAAAATAATAAAAAATTATTAAATTTGGCTTTATGGTTGCCAGAATATCTTTTCTCAAAGTTTAAAGAGAATTTTGGCATAGCTTTTGGTATTTTGAATTTTTTTTAAAACTTTGAATAAAGATATCTTAGCAACTACTTAATCAAATTCTATGAATCTTTTTTATTTGAATTCTATGTATTCATAAAATTTAAATAAAAAAAAGTTTATTGAATTTGATCTTGTTAATACTAAGATATTATTGCTCAAAGTTTAGAGAAAATTCTGTATAGCTTATTTTGATAGATGTTTTAAATTTTTTTTAAACCTTTGAACAAAAATATCTTAGCAACTACTAAGTTAATTTTAATAAATCTTTTTTTATTTGAATTCTATGAATTTATAAAATTCATATAAAAAAAGTTTATCATATTTAGCTTTGTAGTTGCTGGGATACCTTTGTTTAAAGTTAAAGAAATATTTAATCTGTAAAAAAAAATAGTTATATTAATCTTATATGGGCATATTAGCATAAAATTGTATAAATTATGTGCATGCACACATGCATGTATGTATGAATTCATGCGCATGGTGCTCATCTCTAGATGCATCGCGATGAATAATTTTAAAAAATTTTTCATATAAAAAAAATTTTTATAAATTTTTTTTATACAAAAATAAAATTTTACATAGAAGAATTTTATAGCTATTCTCATAAATTCTGGAACAATGAAAAATTTCTGATGACTGAATTTAATAAGTTTTCAAGTTCAGCCATTAAAAATTTTTGGTTGTCCCAGAATTTATAAGAACATCTGTAACTTTTCTAAAAAAGTACTTGGTCGGGTAACGAAAAGCAATTTTATTTGTCTGCATGGCCTACTACTATATGAAAATTAAAGTTTTACAGTTTCGGGGTTTCAGATGAGGTTTCGGGTTTCGGATAAGATTTCGAGTTTTGGATAAACCCTAAACTTTCAGATTTTGGCACAAAGAGTTTCAGTACCAACTCTAGTTTTGGCAATTTCGGAGATTTTGCCCAGTTTTAGAGGTTTAATCCAGTTTCGAAGGTTTTAGAAGTTTCAAATTTGGGGAGCTTCTGGTGAAACTAGGTTTTGGAAGTTTTGGAGGTTTAGGCTGGCTAAAGTTTCAGTTTAGGCCAAAACAATAACCTCAAGTTGAACTTTAGGCACCTACTGAAGTTGCAACTTTAGGCATCTGAAGTTGCAACTTTAGGTACTTGAAGTTGCAATGTTAGGCACCTCAAGTTGTAACTTTAATCAGGCTTTTTAAAAGTAGACAATGTCATATTGATCCAGTGATCATTATGTATTTAGAAATGGTTAACAAATTCCTTCGATCTAGTCTTTAATGATCAGTATTATCAATTCATTAGCCCAGTAAAAAATCTGAAAATTATTAAATATCTAGTAAGGAGGCATACAAATTTATTTCAGGTCACTGATTTTTGTGTTTAAAATTCTTATTTTTACTATTATCTGTTAATGCATCTCTGGTTTTATGTATGCATGCATTTAGTTATTTGATATTTTTTATTTTTTTTTTTCTAGGTTTGATTCCGAGTTCATTTAAGCCAGTTTTGGGTTCAAATAAACCCACTTTGGGTTCATTTAAATCAATTTCAGATTTAAATAAACCACTTCAGGTTTATTTGAACCTATTTCAGGGTCATTTGAGTCAATTTCAGGTTAAAACAAATCTACACCAGATTAATTTGAGTCAGTTTTTTTAAATATTTTAACTCAGGCAGTTTACAACTTTAAGCTTGAGGGATATTTCATGCATACTACTATGCCTGAAGTTGCAACTTCAGGCATAACACAAATAAGACCAACAAAATTTATAAAAATAATGAATTTATATTGAATCTTTAGACTTTACAATTATGCAATCAGGTAATTGTATGATGTGCAATTGATCAAAGTTACATCAATATACAAGCAGCGATAATTGATATATAAAATAGATCTAAAAGTACAAAAAGTATACATTAAAATAACTAATATCAACTAATATCATATAAATGATGCCAAGGGAAAATGATGCTTTAAATATTTAAGTTTCATATAGTTCTTCTGTTAATTTCTAAAAAAAAACTATTCTGTATGACCTACTATTGGGTGGTTATTTTATACATTTTTACTCTTATTGCATGGATTTGGTTATCGTGATAAATCAGTAAATGCCATACCAGAAACATAGTGTATGATTCAGTTCAAGTTTTGCGTTCGTTTACAAAATCTTGATGCTAATTGGATGTAGTAATCGATTGATTTCAAGACATAATGATCTAATATAAAAATTATAATAGCAATATCTAAATTCATAGTATGACATCTCTCTGATTGGCTGATGTCAATCAAACCTTATTTATATATTATACAGTGCTTTTTAAGAACATAATATTTTA